TTTTTAACATTTTAAAACATTTATATTGTTAAAAACATCGAGTTTATTGATTTTGAATTATGCTTAATTGATTTTCCTAGTTAGTTTTTTCAATTAAAAGGGCTCAAATGCGCCTTAAAAACCATCGTTCAAAAGGCTGAACTGTGCCTTTAAGGTCCAGGGCACGTGCGATTTTTTTCTCGCGCCGGCAACGCAACGGGTTAAATTTCATCGCTTTACTCGCGCGAGTGATGAAATTGCCCGTGTAACATATCTGTCGTGGGTAGCCAGATCGGGAAGAAGCTGACCGATATAACCTTTGTTTTTTCTTTCTAGAAGCCAGTGCCGGCTCCAAATACGTTTCTTTTCTTTAACCTCCTCGTCATCTTCTTCCAGCAAAAGCATTGCAGCTATGACCAAAAGTTCTTTCTTCGACGCCATGTTGTTGTCAGTGACGTTTGCGAATTGCGAAACACTAGTGACCGGTTTTTTCATGCAAATAGTTGCGACGTATAGCCTGCGTAGCAGTCGCTTTATTTTTTTTAATTTTATTTGAGGATTTTTTTAACGCGAAAGGCGACGGGGCTAAGCTATCATTGCTCGTGTCACCACTTCACTCGCGCGAGTAACGCAATGAAATTTAACCCGTTGCAAAGGCGTTGCGTTGCCGGCGCAAGAAAAAAATCGCACGTGTAACTGGACCTTTATCGACTTGTATTACGTTTCATAGTATATTATATAGCGGGGGAGTTCGAGGAAGCGGGGTTCAGAACAGTATTTGGCAATTTTTAATTTAGTGCATGTAGTTAACCAAGGTCATGTGAAATCATGACCTTGCTACATGAATATAAAAAGACTTATTATTGTGAAGAGAGTAACAACGAATTATCAAATGAATTTACAATTACACGTAAGTACACTCACATAAGTACCGGTTTTGCAACTGCGTTGTCTTATTCATGAGCAGACGTCTTGAGTGTAAGAGCTGCAAAGCATAGATATAGGCTAAAAAGTGAGTTAAGTTAAAACCGGCCTAAAAGTATAAAATTGGGTTGAGAAACTACAATTCTTTAGTTTAAGAAAGTGGCTGAACAGTACAACACGTTATGTCTGGTGTACACAGCAAAGGACCAGTATTAAACTTAACAGAACTTCAGGCGAACGCTCTAAAGCGTATTATCGCTCTTCAACACCAAGACATTCTGGTCAAAAATGAGCGGCTAAGAGGGGTAGAGGACTTAACAAGAATATGCAGTGAATTGGAAGAAAAACGGCAGAGTTGGCAGACAAGAGCGGGCAATTATGAAATGGCTTTGAGGCTGGCTGAAACGAGAATCGCGTATTTGAACAGGAAGCTTGGAATTGGTCCCCAAACGCGGACTTTTGGTATCGATGTAGTCAATCCAGGGATTTCAATAAAGGATTTCGACGCAGTTACCAAAGAGAATATCAGGCTAAAAGAAGCGTTGGAACATATCGTACCAACAGAATTGGGCGGTAAAGACATAGTCATTGTAAGTATGATAGAAATTTAATTTATACACGCTGACGGGCAGAGTCATGTGCCAAAATTTTACATGTACAAAAAAGTGATATTTAGAGCTATTTATTATATCTTTTAAAAGATATAGACACAGAGGAGAGTAATATAGAGTGTTAAAATAGTAGCTATAGGCCCGCAATAAAAATTATCAATAGGAAAGGTCTTTCATTTCCGATTTGTTGATGTTTCTCTTTAGTGCACGAACTTTTCCATATTTCGTCCTGAACGACGGTGCTACCCTTCTGAAATTGATCATAAGTCGCTGGCGAAAT